TATCTTCTGTGTCTGTGTTAATTGGTTTCCCTTTTCTTTGTTGAAGAGGGTCTGTGTAATCCTTCTGCCTAGTCCGCCATCTTGCCGGAACTCCAACCTCATTGTTTTTTAACGTAGCATAGTATTCCATTGTGTGGATATACTATAATTTGGTTATCCACTCATTCATGATGGGTATTTAGGTTGTTTCCATCTCTTTCCCAGTCTTCTGTTGATGGACACATAGGTTGTTTCCATCTTTTTGCTACTGTAAATAATGCTGCAATGAACATGGGTGTGCATTTATCTGTTCTTGTCCTCGTTCTCAGTCTTTAGGATATATACTAGAAATGGAATGGGTGGGTCAAATGATATTCCTAATTCCAACTTTTTAAGGAATACCCATACTGTTTTCCACAGTGATTGAATCATTTTACAGTTCCACCAGCAGTATAGGAGGGTCCCAATCTCTCCACATCCTTACCAGAATTTGTTACTTTCTATCTTGTTGAACCTTGCTACTAGTGCTGGGGCAAGATGGTATCTCATTGCTGTTTCCATTTGCATCTCTCTAATGGCTAATGAAGAGCTCTGCTGGCATAATGCCAAAAGAACCTAACTGCTAACCAGAAGGCTAGCAGATTGAGGAGCTCTGGTGGCATAGTGCCTAAAGCACTTGACTACTAACCAGAAGGCTGGTGGTTCAAATCCACCAGGCACTTCTCAGAAAGAAAGTTGGCTAATCTGAATAGTCTTTTCGGTGAGGTGTCTAGTCATGTCTTCTGGAGAGGCATCTTTGTTGTTGTTATATGCCATCGAGTCGCCCGACTCATAGCGACCCCTCCTTAGGTTTCCAAGACAGTATCACTACGGAAGTAGGATTGCCCAACCTTCCTTCCGAGGAGTGGACTTCTCTATTACAAGACCCAAATTTTGACTCAATAACTTTTGGCTACGACTTGTAGAGGTGTATAAACTCTAACTCTCCACCTCCACAAAAAAGAACCAAACTAACCCATCCTTTGATTCCTTATAATCCAGAAGAACCTAGAAAGCGCAAAACGCCTCTCCCAGCTGTCCTCTAACAGGCCAGATACCGGACAGGTTGGGAGGGGTATACAGCGCGTGAGGCTGAGGGTCCAGTGCAGACTCCACGTAGTCCCTTCAGTTCAGTGTGCACAATACTCCCACCATGCTTGGGGATTTTCTGGCCGTGGTCTTTAATGACGAGACCAAGTACCACACACTGAGCAGGGAAGCAAGCTCTGCCAGGGAAACCCTCTGCCCGTCCGCTGCAGCCCAGCCTTCATTAATCTTTTCTCGCGCCGCTCCCTCCCCCCTTTAGAAATACTGAATCTAGAGCCGTCAAGATGAACCAAAGGGGACGGGATGCACTATGTTCTCACAGTGCAAAAATAACATGCCCACCTTCTCTATAGAGGAAAAGGGTGTGCAGCCCAGGTCGCCGGGAAGCCCAGCCTCGCCTCGGCTCTCCCACCTCCTTCCCGGCCCGCCCTCTTGTAACCCGGGACTACATTTCCCAGAGGCCTCCGGGGCACAGAGGGTGCATGCCAACCCTCTCTCCGCTCACACTGGGCAAGGACTTGCTTTCCCGGAGTTGGGCGGGGCCAGCTATAGCCAATAGGTGGGCGGCTCGTTACGGCGGCGGAAGCAGTGCCCCAGTGTTGAGGGGTGGGGGGCAGAGTGTTAGCGCCGCGGCGGTGGTAGCGGGTCTGGAGCTCCAAGACGTTGGCCGTAGAGGCAGAGAGCGCACGGGAGACAGCTGGAGGCGGCGCGGCGGCCACTCGGCACAGACACCCAGGTAATGGCGGGAGACGGGCGCCCAAGAGGCGAGGGGAGGAGACGAGGGGGCGGGGCGGCCAAGCCGGGCTGCAGCGTCTGTTCACGGTGCGTACCCGGGGAAGGGCAGCTGTTTCTGGTTCCTGCAGCTAGGACCCGGGCTTTTTTGCGAGCTGAGCACAGCGGTTGGGCCGCCAACTGGGAGTGGGTGTCCCTGGGCGAGGAAGAGAGAGGTGCCTTGGAGGGGGTGTGCTGACTCTGGCGTGGAGGCGTGGCGCGTTCGGGCCCTGGCGGGGAAGTGGAGGAGTTGGAGTTGAGGGAGGGCGGCCCGGGGAGTTTGGCTCCTGGAGCAGTTTAAAGTGACTCTCCACATCCGGGCCCTGCGCCCGCCGCTTCGTACCCTGTCTGAGGCGGGGCCTGCCCAGTCTCCGCCCCGGTCCCTGGGAGCGCTTTCCTTTCTCTGCTATTGGCTGAGGCTCGAGAGGTTTGGGGTCCCCAGCGAAGCTCGCGCCTGATTCGCTGGCAATCGGCGGGAGGGTGGGGCGGGACCAGAGCGCGCAGGCAGCTGTGGATTGGTGTCGGCCCCGGAGTGACGCCCCGGCATGGGGCCAATGGCCTAGTGGGGAAGATAGGGGCAGGTTCGGGGAAAGAGGATTGGGAGCCAAGTGGCGGCCAAGTGACTGGGTGAGTGGAAACTGCGGGAATGAACAGCTGTGGGCCCGCGACGCGCTCCGCACGAGTTCTCTCCACGCCCCCTGGAGACTTGCGCTGCCACCGGGATGAGCTCTCCGCAGCATCACCGTCCCGGAGAAATGAAAATGAGAGGTGCAGGCGGCAGCTGTAGGTAAAAGGGCGGACAAGTCGTCTTGGGGCTGTCCAGAATGCCTGTTCTCCCTGTGAGATGGAGTTTCAGAGATCTGGAAATCTGTGTTCTCTTATCTCAGCGATGATCTTTGGAATGGGATTAGCATTGCGGGTAAATCCGGGGAAATGAGCAGAGCTTGCCCCTTGGAGGAATGTGGGGGGGTGACTTTAGAAAAGGCAGTGACGGTCCCTGGTCCTTCAGGCTTAGTGGAGAATATGAAAGGGAAATAAAAGGGAATCTGTGAATGACGGTCTTCCCAAATATAGGACGAGAGAATTTTGGAACAAGCTTTTATATGTTTCCTGATTCTTTTAAGAAAAGGCATTTCTCTGCAAAATCTCCTGTGACATATTGACCATACTTTTGTTCACCTTAATGTGAGGTTTAAATCTTTCAAAGACACATTTCATTCTCTGTGAAATTTTAAACAGCTAGATAATACGAATTGTGTTATTACACATGTAGTACAGGATTTTATGTTGATTCTTCTCAGTATAGCAGTCCACAAGTGTCTATGGAGGTTCATAGTATCCTACAATACATAGCATCCCATAGCATAAGCAATTTTTCTAATTGAACCTGTGTACATGATAAATTTAAAGTATTTAGATAATTTCTACATTGTTTATTGATCACAAGTAGTTTTTTTAGAAAAATGTTGCATTTACTTTTCTATAGGATGGTATTGTAAAGGTAATTATTTTCTTTAATTTTTCATTATTGATTTTAATCTCACATCTAGTAATAACCATGTGATTATGTACTGCAGGTGGAAATGAGTTCTCAACAGTTTCCTCGTTTAGGAACCCCTTCCACTGGTTTGGGCCAAACTCCTTCACAGATTTCAAACAGTGGTTCTGCAGGATTGATAAACCCAACTGCTACAGGTAAGATGTGTAACATTCTAGGTGCTTTCTACATTAACAATTTTGCTAGTTTTCTAGTTTTGAAATTAGCAAATACTTTCTGGGAACTTAACAAAAAGACAAACAACCCAATCCGAAAATGGACAGAGGAATTAAACAGCTCACCAAGGAGCATAATCAGATGACCAACAAGCACACAAAAGGATAGTCAACGTTATTAGTGATCTGGTAGATGCAAATCAAAACCACAGTGAGATTCTACCTCACCCCCATTAGAATGGCAATGATAAAAAAAACTGAAAACAAGTGTTTTCAAGATGTGGAAAAACTGGAACCCTCATCCATTTCTGTTGGGGATGGAAAGTGGTACAACTGTGGAAAATAGTTTGGTGGGTCCTCAAAAAATTGAATATACAATTATAATATAACCCAGGTATCCAGTCCCAAACTGCTGTTAATACTGCCTGGATGGGTTTTTTTTTTTTTTTTTAAATGGTGGTGGGGAGTTGTACATCTTGTAATTATCGTTAGTAATATGTACTGCATACAGTATTCCAGCGCATGAGTTGCTGATGTTAATCATTCTCAGATGTTCACTTGCCAGTGTTCAGTGTTGTGATTTATAAAGATACTTACAATAAAAAGCAGTAATAATGATAACTTTAGAAAAATGAGTTATTCAGCTTCTGTCAGAACAGAACCCAACAGAATTAAGTTGAGGTCGCAAACAGGAACCTGTACACTAGTGTTCATTACAGCACTTACACTATAGGCAAAGGATGGAAACAACCAATTGTCCATCAACAGATGATTGGATAAACAAAATGTACATACATACAATGGAAAATTATGCAGCTGGAAACAGAAGTGAAGTTGTGATGCATTTGACAACATGGCTGAACCTTGAAAATGTTTGCTGAGCAAAATAAGTCAGTTGCAAAAGAATATGATCTTACAAATATATAGAAACCAAAGGTTATTAATGGTTACCAGGGGTGGGAGAGAGGAGGAGAGCTGAAGTTATTTAGTTGAATTGAGTTTATATTAATGGTGGTGGAATGTTGTAGATGAGGGTAGTGATAATGGTGGCACACATGAAAAATGTAGTCAATGTCATTGATAAGTAAATGTGGAAGTTTCTGTGTTGGTGAGGTATTTTGGTGTGTATGTTTTTACCACAATCAAAAAAAAAAATTTCCTTCTGGGAATTTAGTAATATTGTGTTAATTAAAAGAAAGACTATATTACAATTCTAATTTAAAACGTTATTTTTTTCCCTTTTGGCTAACATCTGTGGTCTCAACTATCAGAAAGCCTATTAATAGATTCAAGGTATATACAGTGGTTCATGATAACAAATGGATGCTCTTTTGCATTATGTATCAAAACATTATCATTATTACTGTATTATATTAAAGATACTTTAGAGTATCTGGAAATGTTTTTTAAATATTTTTATTTATTGAAAGGTGAGACATTTGACTAACAGACATTAGATACAAATCGTACCTAACTGTGCTGACTTACCTATAAATTCACATTAGGAACAGACTTAGGAATGGAACTCATTTGTGCCTGTATATAGTATGGTGTTTGCACAACATCCAAATCACATGACATTGTAGATATTAAGTGATGCATGACTAACTATAACCAAAAAACCTACTCCCTTTCAGTCGATTCTGACTCTTAGTGATCCCCATTGGATTTCCAAGGCGGTAAATCTTCACAGAAGTAGATTGCCCAGTCTTCCTTCTGCAGAATGGCTGATGAGTTTGAACCACCAACCTTCTGATTAGCAATCACATGCCTTAGGCACTGTGCCACCAGAGCTCCTTACTAACTATATACACACATATATAGAACTTGCTGTTTTAAGTGTATATGTTTTGAGTGCCACAGATCATTCTTAGTGAGGGACAGTTTTGCCTTCCAGGGAATGTATGGCAATGCATAGAGACATTTTTGATTGTCACAACTGGGTGGTACTACAGGCATCCTGTGAGTGATGGAAGCCAAGGATGCAGCTAAGTACACAGGACAGCCCCCAAACCAAAAAATGACCAGCTCAGAATGTCAACAGGGCTGTTTCTTGTTTCTTTTGATTCTCCCTCAAATGAGTGTTTACTTCATATAAACTTAGAAGATAGCATCGCAGAGTAAGACAAAAAGTACTCTTTTTTTCTTTACCTTTTGGTCCTTGTATTCCTTAACATTGTAAGTAGTCGGGGGGGGGGGGTTGGTACAAGCATTTATGCATTTCTGAAACCAGGAACTCAGGCATCATCTTTATTTGCTCTTTCTCTAATGTTTCTGCCTCATTTCCTGCTGCTTTACCTCCCTCTCACCAATTAACTTTTTTTTTAACTTACTTTCTGTTGCAAATTTACTATTATTTTCAGTAGACTTGAAGCCACTTTATGCCTCTGCTCAATAGTATTTACTCACGTTTGCTGAAAAAAGATGAAAAGTTCCCACAGTTTTCATGACCTCAGACTTTTGTATATTCTGTTCCTTTTGCTTCAGTTTTCCTTCTTTGTATTCATACTCACTTATCTGGCTAATTCCTGTTATTGAGGTTTCATGTCAGATGTTACTCTCTGGGAAGTCTTTGCAGACAGCGTTGTCCACAGCAATTCAGGTTAGAACCTCCCACTAGACTGAAGGCTGAGGACCATGTCTGTCTCCTGCATGTTTTAATGTCCTGTACTTAATATAGGGCACAAAGTAGTGGTTAGTAAGTTCTTGTAGAGTGACTTAATGTTCTTTTAGTCCTTGGCAAAAGTTTTTGACATCATTTTATCTTTAGGATAAATTCACAACAAGGGTAATTTCAAGGAGCATAGCCAAAGATAATATTTGTGAATATATATTCTGTGTAAGGAATTACACTGCTTGGTAAAAATGGAATTAATCAGCAATAATTGTCCTCAGACTTTGTTGGCTAAATGAAAAGGAAATCATTGACAAAGACCAAAATTGTTAGTACTTTCGCTTCTGAAAAATATACATGTATGTAGAAAAGAAATATGAAAGTTTTTCTAGGTATTTAGGTGACTATTTCCTATTGTTTTTATCAGAAGAGGCATTTGGCATCTTGAGTATATAAGGATTTCAAGTGCATGCTCAAAGTTAGGAAGCATAGATTAAAACCAAGTCTCCCCCCCCCCCGTTTTTTTTTCATTGTGATTTGGGTGAAGGTTTACAGAGCAAGTTTACTTTCCATACAGCAGTTCACGTATACTTTGTCTCATGACATTAACCACAGTTTACCATAATGCAACAGCTCCCCTCCCACTTCCTCCCCATAGTTACCTCTTCCCTGTGTCCATCCCTCCATGCACTCCTGCCCCGAGCTGTCTCCCTGTGCATAAGCAGCCCTTCTTTCTCCCGTGATTGTTCTCTCCAAGGAGTGTATCTACTTGAGGTAAATGTTCAACTCATATGCCTGTCTTTTGTTTGGCTGGAAACCACAGGTGTGGGTTTAATTCCAAATCTGAAGGGCAGCTAAGGGCCGTAGTCTCAATGGTTCCACCAGGCTCTATGGGACCAGCAAACCTGGTCTTCCCCCCCTTTTTTTTCCTCCAAATAATTTTGAGTTTTGTTCCATATTGTTCTCCCTCTCTATCAAGGATCTCCTACATAGATTCCTTTCAAGTGGATGACAGTGGTAGCCAGGAACCATCTAGTTCTTCTGATCTCATAGTCATATAGGCTGCAGATTGGATGGTATACCAGTCACTAGGACTAATTGTTTCCATGAATTTTGGTTTTCTTCAATTTTCTTTGTTCTGGATGAGGAGAGACCCATCATTGCATCTAGATGGCAGCTTGCTAGATTTTAAGATGCCAGTTGCTACTTGCCAAAGTAGGACGTGGAACAATGTTTTGTATAGTATGTTATGCCAGTTGAGCTTGATGTCCCCTGCGACTATGGTCCCAAGGCCGCAGGTTCAACTGCTCGGTCCCTCTGGGTCACCAAGCTGTGACCACAACTTTGCCCCTTGTCAGCTCTACTATACACCTGGGAATTCTGATCATTCACATGAACTTATAGGACCATTGTATGCTAACCCTATATATGTTCTTGGATGTTGTTGTGTTGTTTTGTTATGTGCCATCGAGTCGGACCCGACTCATAGCGACCCCTCCTTGGGTTTCCGAGGCAGTCTTACTAGAGAAGTAGATTGCCCCATCTTCCTTCCGAGGAGTGGCTGGTGGGTTTGAACCGCCAGCCTTCTGGTTAGCAGTTAAGTGCCTTAGACACTATGCTGCTACCAGAGCTCCCATGCTCTTGGATGCACTCTTCATTTCATACACATGACCACCCATCTGTCCACCTTCAGTAATTGCTTGATGTGGCCCTTCTAGCCATTGTCCTCCATTCTGTGATGTTTTGTAAATCCCATTATCCATGCCTGTTTGGGGTGCTGTGGTAATTAAGGTCAGGTATCAATTTGGCTGGGCAGCTGGTAGTAGTCATTCCCTATAATGACTGGCAATTGACTCTGTGATGGGATTTAGGTTAATTCTGTTGGGGCAACACAGGTGGAATGTATCTTGAGTCCTGCCTTGCTGGAGGGTATAATTCAAATCACCACCCTTAGCTTCCCTGAGGGTATACCTACGAATCTCCTGGGAAGATTTGCCCTCCTCTTGGTCGGGCTTTGTGTCTTGGATCATCCTCATCTCACCCCTGGATTTGGAACGGCACCCGTCATCTGATCTGCTGATCGAGGTTCATCAAACCCGAGAGTTGGGAGGATCTGCCAGACCTACTCACGGACCCGGGACTCGCCAGCCTGCCAGCCTCCACCACTACTATGTGAGACGAACCCCTGGGTGTCTGTGAGTTCTGTGAGGCATTACAGCAAAATACAGAACCCTAAGACTGGGGAAATTACTGGGAGGAGGAGGAGGAGTTAATGTCTGAAATGATGGAGTGGCATGGTAGTTCGTACATTTAGACATCTTTGACCTCCGCCTCATGGGGACAGGCCTCGTGCTGATCTTTCTAAGAG